CATCAAAATAGTATACTGATTGTATATGAAAAATATTTTCAATATTGGTTAAGATTGGAACACAAATACATGATTGTTTTGAGTGACTTTAAAACTCACCTTAGCAACAAATGAATTAACCAAGTAGACCTCTTTATTTTCACTTAGAAGTTATGCAAGTAAAAATCTTGATGGAGCCCAATTTCATTTTTCTACAATCCATTCCTTAATGTGTGCATGAAAATATGAATGAAAGTTTGAACAACCGTTTCCTTTTTTCATGAAAATCAATGCTCATTTAGTATTTTAGACACGTTTACTTACACAGTAGTATCCAAGATCTAAAACCTCACTTGAGTATAACTGTTGTCCATGGATGACCTCAACGTCGTTTACACCTTTTTTCTTTTAGCCAATTAATGGTGATCAAAATATGTGATGATCTTCTTGTTCACTTTAAGTTGTGTTCATTATATTGCTGTGCTAAGACTAACTTGCCTACGATAGCCAAATTGAATGACTTTAAAGGCAACCCTAGAAACTGATAGAATAACCAATCACTTTTCACCATTCTATGAAAAATGGTCTTTCGAGACAAAATATCGCAACTTGATTGGATATTTTGTCAGTTGTTAGGGTGGCCTTAAAGTCGCCGGCCAGATTTAAAGATCACCCTAGCAATAGCTAAACTACTCACAATCAGATTTTTATATTTTATCAAAATCTGCCTTTCTAACCGAAATACAAAACCTACTTGGTTATTTCAGCTGCTGCTGGGGTGGCTTTTAAAGCCACCCTTTATTGTCATGTTATCCATCTAGAATCCTATATTAAGCTACGTGGCAACACATCTCATATTAGTAACGGAATTTACTAATTATGAGGGGTTGTGATAATCTGGAGATGATTTTAGGACCACCGCAGCAACAACTGAAATGATCAATTATTATTATTATTATCTGTCCCTTGGGTTCTTAATGGAACATAGGGCTTCAGTAGCACGTCTGCAATGAGCTCTGTTCTCTGAAATCTTTTAAACCTGGCCCCACGACAGCCCACAAGCTCTCATTTCCTCGGTCTTGGGAGACACTCACACTAAATGAAGAGAATAATTAAAATTAATCTAAAAATTACTCATTTCGCAGTTTCTTTGATATCATGATTACTAACGTGAGAAACACTACATAAAGCTTAGATAGCAACTTTAAAGGCCGCCCTAGCAACAGCGGAAATGACCAATCACGTTTTGGTATTCCATTTGGAAAGCTGGTTTTTCATAAAACACAGAAGTTTGGTTCGTTATTTCAGTTATTTTTAGGGTGGCCTTTAAAGTCACTACAACATGCTGGATACTGATAGCAGTAAATTCACGTGAATATTTTTCAGCTACACATCTCAATGTGTAGCAAATGTAGTTGGTCCACTGCGAAACGTTCAGGAACATCTTGTTTTGCTTATGCAACAAACGCTAGGATTAATTTATTATAAATGTACTGGTAATGAATGTTTACACACAATGATATTATTTAGTTTCGGTAATATTTCGAGCAAAATTACTACTCGTGATAGTGAACGTAGAAAAGACAGAGGTGATGAAGATACCCAAACAACAACAACAACAAGCACCAATCACCATGAACGGGAGAAACCTAAGGAAAGTTGTCTCTCACCTACCTATCAACCTAGGCAGCATCAGTTCAACTACAGGCCCCACAGGCACAGATGAGGATGTCAAAGCCAGTGTTGACAAAGCAAACCAGGCCTTTATTGACATGAAACCAGTGTGGAGATCTAGTGCACTCAGTATAAAGCGTGAACAAGATCCGGATTTTCAACGCTAATTCAATCAAGTCAGTCAGTACTTCTACATGATGGTTGAGAGACTTGGCACGTTACGCGAAGCATTTCCATTTATCAACAGCTGCTGTCTACGCTCACTCGATACTAAAGATGGAGATCAGATGGCCAAAACAATGAGAATAAGCAAAGAGGAACTCTGGCTGGCTGTCAACAAACCAACCAACCGAAAACCCATTGCCCAACAGATATGCAGTAGAAAGTGGAGATGGATTGATTGGGCAGACACTGAGATGCCCAATCGGGGACATCACGTGCCAGGCCAAGGCAGGTCGTCGGATGGAAGCCGAAGGGGAAAGGATGAGTTGGGCATCCGTGGTGGGGGTGACATGGAGGAGATGGTGTGAGGCATAAATGAAATGTTGTTGGCATTGGTGGAGCCAGGTTGAAAAGACTGTAGAGAAGAGAGTGCAATGGAGACGTGTTGGTGAATCCCTATGTTCCACTAGGAACCCAAGGGACAACTAAATATAAAATTGTTACCGGATATTGAATAATGAAGAAACGGTGTTCTAAGGTGTCATATCATATTTCTCTAGTGGTTAATAGCCTGCATGAAATATGTGATCACTGACGTCATGAAATGCGAAGATAATACTTTTTAAAAACACAAATCAGTTGTAAGGATCTCCAAATCATGGACGGTTTTGCTAGACATCAGTATTTTGAAGTAGTCCCCGAACACAGGTGTAGTTTACTTTGTGAAGATGAGTGGTTTTCAGTTCGGAATATCCATTTCGTTAGCCCTAGCCTTGATTGTATTTAAGTAGGCCAAAGGAGTTGACCTCAAGCTGTAAGGCTGTGTAGACTTCAGGAAGACGCGTCCCATGCTTGCACGATTACAATCAACGAACCGATTACCTGGCGAATGTAGATGGATTTAAGTCTGAAGGGATAACACTTATCACTTTGAGAAGGCAGTAAGAGAGTCTACTGGAAAGAGTATTTGTTTTCATGTTGATGCGTAGGCGGAATGCTTTTTTCTCGGAGAGTGGACCGATCCACTAGGTTAGTGTTGGAACATCCATATCTGTGAAGACCGGCCTGAAACTTAGAGCTAAGTAGAAAAATGAAGTGAAACGTCAGATAGCTCACATGAAGTATTTAATCAATCGTCTCATTCCCTGAAAAGGTTATACTTTTTCAGAAGCACAGGTGAGGAGCTTTTAACTTTAAAAAATTAAGTGAATGAAACGATTCCTGCCCTTTATACTTTTACAACAGAAATAAGTACTTCCTCCCTTCAACCCTTGTAACAACATACAAGATAGTTAGTATGCTCCATATGATCTGAAATATATGTTACCGTAAGGTGTTACATGTCAACGAGAACAAAAGCCATAATGTCAGAACAGTTTTCGTATTATATGAGCCTGTCTCAGAAAATTCTTATCAAATTTTAGATTTGAATGAGTTTATATGATTGAAAAATTCTGAGGATCATATCATGCAAGCAGTCATGATAATAGCCTATCGGATTTGGCACTCAACGTCGAATATCCAGTCGCAGTTCATCTTATTGACATATTCCTAAGTGATACCAGTTGATACTTTTGAGGGACAATGGGATGCTTTAAATTCGGAGACACAAGGGTGGTAACCAACACGTAGAAAATCTTGTCCACAGCTTTATACTATCTGACTCTTCATATCCAGCACTAAATTACTTCAGGAAGTGGTGTCACAACGTTATATTTAACGGTCACTTTAAAAACATAGCCGACAAGATTCGACCAGAACTCTACACACTGAGTGACTGACTGACTGACACAATCAACGTGGAAACTGGCACACGAGTGCATCGGTTCAAGTTGCCACACTTCATGAAAGTACACAAAGAATAAGTGGATAGCAAAATAGTGATGTAAAAGAAGATGAAGTAGTTTGAGACAATAAACAATCTGAGGATAAAAGTTGGTGCCAGTATTCAATCTTTATAAGGAGTGAATATATCTGCAACACTGTGACCAGTTTTCAACCACATCACCAAGAGTCTTCAAACATAGATTCCTATCGCCTCTGGGATCCCTGCCAAGACGTCTACATATCCCCACACGACTCAGATCAACGGTCAGAGACTTCATGAACTGGTGCCACCCTGAACTTTCTTCCAACCTAACCCAACGTCCCCTTGCATGGTATGTCGAGGCAGGCGGTGCCTCAGCATGTGCAACATATCCCCAAACCATCTCAATAAATGAAGGTTCTCAACCTTATTAACCGACTTGCCTGTCTGGTCAAGTACTCTTCGCTTGACCTAAATATTGCTCACACGGTGGTTCTACCAAACGACATCGATGCAATGAAGAAATGTGTGATCAAAACCTGCAACCGCTTCATATCTTCTGCTTCTAATGACCATGTCTCACAGCCATATAACACGACAGGATGGACTGCGGTGCAGTATATTCGTTATTTAATAGATAGTCGGACATCTCATCGACGCCACAGGTGAGTCAGGTTGGCAAATGGCAAACGAGTCTTCGGTATCCGAGCTGAGGTTTTGTCATCAACCAGTCCGTTCGGTGGATGACACTACTCCCTAAGTAAGTGAAGTGGTCGACACATTCCACCACTTCACTCCCTTTCACTACATTGGAAGTACATGCAGCAGACCAGTTCTGGAGCATCATCTTAAATTTGGCAAGTGCTAACTGCTTATCAAGCGCATGGGACTTGATAGCTGCATTGGTCAGTTTCATTGCATATAATCGCCATGGGATAATTAATGAACGATACAGAATGTTGAAAAAAGTAGACACCAATGACCATCTGTTACCCTTATTATTATTATTATGAACTCGTTACAAATGAATAGTAATAATAATTCATAAATATGATAGATGTGTAATGTGTCACTATCTATATTGCAGTCACAAAATAACTCGATATTCAGGCTCTGGTTGTGAATGAATACTGAATCGAAACAAACAAATATTGGGTAAATTGTCAGTAAGATATCCATAACAAGATAGGTTGATTAGATTAATGAAAAATAAAAATCAATTGAGGATGGATGATACGTTAGAATTCCTCTAATTTTATTAGTATTTAGTATAGTTTCGTCATCAAATAAGACTTCATCAGCACTGACTAAGTTACTGGCTATTCCTTTTACTAAATGCCAAGACTCTGTTTTTGTGTTGGCTTGCAGTAACAAATATTCATTTATTACGGACGAATAAGTGTAACTTTTCCGGTGATAGAAGATGCTGACCAAGGTGACTTATGTAACAAATAAATGCAATTAAGTATAAAACAATAACAGAAAAACAGGTCACCTGAAATATTGACGCCACTCGACTAGCTGTATGCATTAGGTATCCACTGGAGTTTCTTTGTGATCGAGACTTTATGTCTTTTGTATGCAGAGACTTTGTAAACTGTCCCTGAAGATTCGATATGAAGTTTACTGAATGTGTAGAATCAGCATTTGAAAATGATGAATTTAGACTATCTCTATCAGTCATTGAATATTCATACGGTTTAGTTTGTTGAATTAAATTCAACAGGAATTCTGACAAAATAATTGATTTTCCACCTAGTCGTTTTTCTTCCAACTTTTTCAATTCATTCAGTTTACAGATTTTATTTCTTAGTGTAGATCTTGGTATGCCATAAACACTAGCTGCTCTACGAGTTCCCAACCGTCCGAAACAGATAGCATTAACAGCTGCTGATAACTCAGCTTCTGTGTATGGACGTCTTATTTCTTTGCTCAAATTCGATGTTTTGGTACGCATAGTATCATTTGAGGTTGGTTTAAGTGGAAGACAGAGTTCTTTAGTTCTTGATGAGTTTTTCGCAGTTGAACTTAAAGAATAAACTAACGATCCTGTTATCTCAGAATGAGACTTCTGTGTGATACTTGTAAAGGATGAAGAATTGTTCAAAGTTCCGTTTGTTAGTGATGTATGGATATAGTCTGAAGGTGAAAACGGCATTCTCAATGATTCTTCTGAATACTGACTGTTTTCTGTCTCTGGATGAATTGTCGAAGATGAAAAATTGGAACATTGGCAGTAAAGAGGTGAGTTATCATTCGACCCCTTATGAGATTGGTATAGATATCCTTTGGGTTGTTGGCTAAGTATAAGTAAAGCAGATACGATGAGAACATTAGACAGACACTTTCAAAATTCAAAAAAATCTTTTGAAAATCAGCAAAATTATGTTACGTTAGGGGTAGAATTGATTTTAAACAGTAGGAATGACCAACTTAGCCTATATGGTCACCGATTAACATCTTAATACTAACCATATATCTGAAGGATAATAAACGTTGTGTAATTTCAACAGAAACTTGAAGAAAAGGATTAAAAGAGTTATGAAAACTTTCTGACTGTTTATTTTTTTAAGTAATCCGTTCTTTATTTCAGTGACAGACAATGGCTAGCAGTGGGTGGACACTTCGTCCTATTTGGGAATCGTCAGGTGAATATACCTGTCTCATAGTGGATGATGGTGTTCTCACTGAGGCTCGTAACTAGCACCCACCGCTTCGGAAGCTGGAGCATTATCCACTAGGCAAATGGGTCACGACAAACACCTCTTATTAACTCTCTGTTATGCCTGCAATATATATGACCAAGTTAATGTGTGTATATTTTGTATTAACTTACCTAATCTCCATGTATCTTACTAAATCACTCCTGTTTACCACAGCAATGTCATACTCAGGATAGTAATGATGGAGAGTGGCTAGCAGTGGAATCCAGGATGCGCATTTAGTCCTATTTGGGACTCACTAGTCAGCTGGATGTACCTGTTTCCCAATGAGTGATGTTGTTCCCACCGTGGTTCGGACTCGGGAGCGATCGCTTCAAACGCCAGAGTGTTATCCACTACACCACCGAGGCACGACATCCACTTCTTGTGTGACGGGTATAGTTTTTAGAATATGATTGTTTTTATATCATACCGTCGTTGATTGAGTCGAATTGATCGGTCTCTATTGACATATGTGATCCTGTGTGAATGCCTCGATATTACCTGTGCTCTTATGATAGTAATGATGGATAGTGGCTAGCAGTGGAATCCAGGGTGCGCATTCCGTCCTAAAAACTATACCCATAGCACAAGAAGTGGATGTCGTGCCTCGGTGTAGTGGATAACACTCTGGCGTTTGAAGCGATCGCTCCCGAGTCCGAATCACGGTGGGAACAACATCACTCATTGGGAAACAGGTACATCCAGCTGACTAGTGAGTCCCAAATAGGACTAAATGCGCATCCTGGATTCCACTGCTAGCCACTATCCATCATTACTGTCATAAAAGCGCAGGTAATATCGAGGCAACCACACAGAATCCTATATGTCAATGGAGACCGATCAATTTGGTTCAATCAACGACGGTATGATATAAAAACAATTATATAAATACTCCGGATAGTTGTGGTTTGGCAGACGTATATTTATACCGGGTGATGATTGAAAATGAAATGAAAACTTGGAATGCTGTCGGATTCGAACCAGTGACCACCAGGCTCCTGACCAGATGCTCAATCGGGAACCTGGTGATCACTGACTCGAATCCAACAACATTCCAAATACTCACTTCACCTTCAATCATCACCCAGTATAGATTTACATTTATCATTAACAGGTTGTTATATTGCTACATAAAAGTTTATGACTTCTATATCTTAAAAGTTTATGTAACATAAATTGAATGATATTTTCAGTTATTTGTCTCCCTTGTAGCTATATTCATTCCGGATCTCATTTTACAATAGTCTGTAATCTATAGTAATCTGTTTTATATCTTTATAAAAACATGGGCGATGAAATTTGTTACACTTTATAATCCTCTCTGAAAGCATTTAAAACTTCTTTGAAAACGTTAGAAATCCATGAAAATTTCAAGGATCTTACTGATCTTACATTAAGCCTACCTTGGTAATGCTTATTTTATTGTATTACCAAGATTGTCTTCAAGTCTTATCTTTTATTCTTCTCATTATCTTTCTTATTATTGAATTCCTTTATGTCACATGTGTGATCAGATTGTTTGAAATGTATAGCGCTAATACATCACACAGTTTGTTCAGATAATCTACGTCTTCTAATTACATTATCCAAATCTTACTGATAATTTTCATACTATTCTATCACAGTACATGTGTGTTATTCTGATTTGCTTTGCATGAACTTTTATAAAGTCAACATAGTAAGTAAAATATTTTTCTCAAATTGATTTTACAGAACAATTGAAGAATATCTCATTGTTGTCACTAGATGTTTTTTGGTCAATAAAACAAAACTTTCTCAAAAATAACCTTCAGATATTCAAATTATAGTAATAAAAGTAGTATTTATTATGGATTGACATCAGTTAGGGAACCATTGGAAATTTGGGAGCACTGGACAGTAGCTGTTTCGTCCTAGTGTGGGAATCCTCAGCAGTACTCACCCACGACCCAGCTATGGATCGAACTCAAGACCTTCAGGTTTCCCGACGAACGCGCTAACCATTCAGCCACTGGGTCGGTTTCCGGTAGTTCACAATTTGCAACTTCTTTCAATTCATGACATAACCGTGACCTGTGGGGTCAACCAGTCGGAAATGAAGTGCATGATAACTGAAGACCTTGGGTGACAGTCGCGCTATATCATGAATTGACAGAAGTTGCAAACTGTGAACTACTGGAAACCGACCCAGTGGCTGAATGGTTAACGCGTTCGTCGGGAAACCTGAAGGTCTTGAGTTCGATCCCTAGCCGTGTCGTGGGTGAATACTGCTGAGGAGTCCTATACTAGGATGAAACAGCTGTTGTCCAGTGCTCCCAAATTTCCAATGGTTCCCCAACTGATGTCAGTCCATAATGAACACTACTTCTAAGATAAAAAAAATCCCCATTCATCTCAAAAATACATAATAATAAAGGCGATATTTTTATTAATTTCGTGAAGAAATCTAACGTATTTTCCCTAAAAAATTGTTTCAAAAAGTCGTCTTGTATTCAACACGAAAATCTACATTTCTGCTACGGTTATGCATGGCATTCATTATTATTCATTTAACATCACTGATAAAGGACTAAATAACTGAAATCTTCGGATTTAATCAGATGATAATAACAAAGGAAACAATAATTAGTTCAATATAACTTACCTGCTTATACTTAAAATTGTCTTCAAGGACAAATCCAATGGTTCTTCATCTTTATCAACTATTGTAAATGAATTTTGTACATTCTGATCATAATTAAAGCTATACAGTTGACTTAAATTTGAGAAATTAAAATTGGAATTATAACACTGAAGTTGAGTAAATAAAAATCGAAAATAGTCGAGAAGATTTGTTTCATGAGGTGTACATTGACATTTAGCTGTACTACTGATCACTGGATAGGAATTTTCAATTTCAACGAATTTCGTTGCTTCAAATGAATCAGTGTAATCTGAAGAATATATTTTGGATACTGGAAGTGTTTTGTAGGCGTTCATCTGGGTCCAGTTATCTACGGAGATAAAAAATAAAAAGAATTTTAGCATATTAAATTTTTTCATCTTATCGTCTCAATAATTGTAAGAGTAACGGTGCTTGAGTGAAACTCATAGAAATCAATAGAAGAGTGTAATTTTTCAAGTTGTTATTCATCGAAGACTGACATCAGTTGGAGGAACAAAGGAAACCTGGGAGCACTGGACAGCTGTTTCGTCCTAGTATGGGACTCCTCAGCAGTGCGCACCCACGACCCCACCAGCAGGGATCGAACCCGCGACCTTCAGGTTCCGCGGCCAGCGCGTTAATATTGAGTCACTGGGTCAGAATCCAATGCTCCATATTTCCAACTTCTGTTAGCTCACGATATAGCGCAAACCGCCACCCAATGTCATCGTTGAGTATTTGTCCTCACGGCCATCAGGCTTGACTCCACCGGTCACGACTTGTCATTGGAACTTCGGGAATACTTCTCGAAGCTAGTCACCAACGAGCACTAGTTCAATTAAATTTTTTTTTTGAGGGGGTTGTGGAGATTTGGAAATATTTCAAGTTGTTATTCATCGAAGACTGATGTCAGTCTTCGATGAATAACAACTTGAAATATTTCCAAATCTCCACAACCCCCTCAAAAAAAAATTTAGAAGAGTGTAAGCTGATTTCAGTATCATTGACTGGATAACCCCACCCACGCATTCCATTTCAGTTAGAGTAGGCTTAGCTAAATGCCTAAGTGATAGGGTGGAAAAGCTTACTAGTAGACCAGAAAATCTACAACAAGACATTGAACACGTTAAGAATACCTTGAGTCTGAATAATTACCCACCTAAATTTATCAGTAAATTTATAAGAAATCGAAAGAGAAATATCAGCGGTAGTAGTAGTGGTAATACAGGTGTTACTAACATCAATTTGACTACTTATAATAATAGTGACAGGGTTGAGAGAAAATTCAAAACCTCTTCTGTGTTACCAAACAGGGAAGGCGCCTCAGAAGCATTACGAAGAATTCTCAGTAAGACTGCTGGGATTAAAAAGGCTGACATTTAAACCAACAAACTCGCTTAGAAACAAGCTTTGTAAGTTAAAAGATCTTGTCGATCAAATTAAGCAAAATAATCTGGATTACCAAAACCCTTGCAACGATTAAAAGGTCAAGTACATAGGTGAAAGTAGTCGACTAGTTAGGGTCAATTAGAATAACAGTGCACAAAAACTTAGCTAAATCAAGAATAGTAGATCCTAATAAGACAGAAAATTTAGAGAGAAGCTGGGCTATAGTTCTGCACAACTACACGCAATCACACAGTAGCGTGGGATAGAGCGATAGCATTAAAAACTAAGTTGGGTGGAGGGAGGGAAAGATTGATAACCGAATCTTTGTTTATCGAATCAACACCAAATACATGCAGTAATAGAAATGATTCTGCACCTGTCCCAGATATATATATGGAGAATTCTACTACCCTTGTCACTAAACGAAGGAGAGAGAATTAAGATTATATAAAGTCTGTCTCGAAGTTGTGGAGTTACCTGATACGAATATGGACAATAAATTGTATCTGAAACGTTATCCAGTAAATGATACTGTTTCACTGTATGATATTTCTAATAAACAGACTAAAATGGAATTACAACCGAGCACAGTGCCCAAGTTTTACTCTTGTATTAATGTGAGCTGATTTATTTGCATTCCTGGTGGCTTGTTTAAATATCTGGGCTACTAAATTTCCCATCTGACGTATTGCATCAAATGTTTTTACACATTTGTTCGTTTTAAGCATTCTATTATACCCTCTGATCGCATTATATATTTACGCGCATTGTTAAAAAGTTTACGGCGTTCTGCAATGCCAGTATCAACTATGGTGAGGAAAAAGCATCACGCTGGATGGTAGTGTGGTTTGACTTGAATAGCCTTGTCTCAGATGACTCTGCCTGAAATTATAAGCACGAACTGCAGGTCATTCAAGGGAAAGGTGGATTACTTACAGTCTCTTATTTCTTCCGATATGTACCGTAGTACCAGAGTAATTACACTGCAAGAAACTTGATTACATGAACTTTATGATGATAATTTGATTTCTGTGAATGGTTACAAAATTTTCCGTCAGGATCGATGTAGCTCTACTAAGAAAAGTGGAGGTGGTGTAGCTACTTTCACGAATACCTATCGTTGCGTTTCGAGTTACATACGCTTCAAATTCTCAAATGGTTACATAGATTGCTTCACTGTTAAATGCCCACGAAAACATTTGAACAAGTATCGCTTTATTTATATCACAAATATTTATGTGATGTCTGTATGTGGTCATTACAATTTATCCAGTTTCTTTGGTATATACACAGAATTTGCAATCCCCATACTTCATAGTTTCCTGTCGATAAAATGTGGTGATTTCAATTCTTGTGACCATAGCTTTCTCAAAACTCTTGGTCATCAAAACGTTGTTAACTTCACAACACGTCAGGGGCAACACTAGACTTGATATTTATCTATGATACTCATATATATATGAAACTCGAAAGAGATCCTCACTTCTCAGCTCAGCTCATTGCATTATACGTGTTTTGCCCTTAATATGTGGCAAACTACACAAAACAGCCTTCACATACAAGAAAATTGTATATAAAAACTATTCACATAGTAGCATACTTAATCTAAGAGAAATGCTACAATGTACAGACTAGAATATATTTGACAGCCTTGTTTCGAACGACACTATTGATGGTGTGATATGCCATCTCAAGTTTTATCCGGATATCTGTAGCCGCAGTGAAAAACTTTTTCTATGCTTCGATCGTACATCTTCTCCCCATCTTAAGAGACTAAGAAGAGAAAAAGAAAGACTATATAAGGTAGGTGGTAATGCTGATACCTGTCGATTGAACATTTTAAATTAAACGTCTGAGTCTACTATACAACCAGAAACATTTTTCATGCAAAGGCTCTCCCAGCATGTGGAAACGTTTTAAAGAGCTCAATGGTAGTAAACACCTTAGTCAAGAAGCATATGTTGACGTCTGTGCTTCGCAAAAATCGTTTATACACCAACCCACCTGTCCCATCCCACTTTGTCTACCCATGTCAAATGAAGAACGTTGTCCATAGTTCACCGAGATAGATGTTTTCAAATGTTTCAAATCCCTGAACCCATCACACAGTTCAGGTACGGATAGTATGTCAAGCTTCGTATTCACGAAGTGTACTGATATTTTATGCCATCCATTAGCTGACATATTCGATAGACCGTTTTTAGAAAACACCTTACTAGCTGTCTGGAAAGATATTAGGATAGTCTCCGTACCTAAGTCAGAAACTCCAGGTGCGTGTCCGAAATTCTGTCTGATTGCAGCAACCTCTGTGTTCTTGGGAACAATGGAGAAGCTAATAATACTAGAGCTCATAACCTCACTGAAGGCTTTTGGACACCCTAATCGATTGGCATACAAAAGTAAAAGGAGCACTTTGGATGCCATCACTGTCTTATACCACCATATTGCTTGTAATCTTGGTAGAGTTGACATGTATATCAGGTCTGCCGTTTCAGACTACACTTCAGTATTTGATTGCGTCCCAAGACCTCTTTTGATGGACAAGGTAAACGGGACTGATACTGAGTCCTAGATAATCAGCCAGCTGCATTCCTATTTCTCTGAAAGAAAACAACATACTGTTCACAGAAGGAAACACTCCACTTTATTGCTTACTGTGACTGGTGTTCCCCCACGAGCCGTCCTTTCTCCTCATCCTTTCTCTTTCCTTCTGCATCACTTACCATCTTCACATAGCATCCATTTCACAAAATGTGTTGATGACCTGACGGTTGCCATACTTGTCTTCTCTTCAGAAGACTGTTCCCAACTGAATAATTTCCTATCTACTGTTAGACGATGGTCCTCTGTGAATCAACCTATGCTTAATTCTTCAAAATTTCTACCTATAAACTTTAGTTTTAGACGTGAATATAACCTATGGAAACTGCTTAGTTCTCATGATCCCTGCTGTTCTATTGATAGTTGTTCACTACAGAATGTTACAAGTGTGATTTATCTCGGTGTGGATTTTTCTTCCAACTTTATCTGGTCTTCCCATATCTCAAAACAAAACAAAACAACCCAAAACAATTTTCTCCCTAACTTTCTATACTATGAAGCTGAGAGTATCTGGTATTACTCAGCATCTCCTCTTGTGTCTTATAAACTCCTGCATCTTGCCTCTTCTTCTACATTGTTCTCCTTTACTTTTCCTGGCTTGGTGGAACAGACTATGTTATATTGCATAGAACATTGAAGATTGTCAGCAGAACTAGTGGTGTACCTTTAAACCTTCTAACTGGAACTGTTGTAGACAAATATATTAACTCTTGTAAACATCTATCAGGAGTTATTTTGTCAGATGATCAACATTCTCTTCACTCAAAGTTCTCTGTGTGTCGATCATCTGGAGAGATACGAAACAATCAAATAAGACTTAATGCACGTACTACAACAATATAAACACTCTACAATACACTACGTATTTAACTAGTCTGCTGTGGGATGAAGGAAGCATTAGAAATGAACTAACTAATCAACTTCTATGATTCAAAGCAAACTAATTCATGGTGAGGATGTTACTATTTACATATTATGAATCTAATTGCCAATGTGATTGCCCACCTAAGTTAACTGTACATTTTGAAGAAATTTGTAGATGGAGTGAACATTCTTATCTTTCTTTTTGTGTTTAATTTCTACTTATTTCATTTTTCTATGTAAACATGTACACTATTTCTGTCCAACTGATACTACATAATCCATGCTGAAAATTCTGTATAGTATTCTCGAAACATCTTTCAGGATAAAGCCATTATTATTGTATTATCAAGTTTAGCTTTTGATAAATACACTAGAAAAATGGAAATTTTCTCAGTGAAGAAATACATTTTTTCACTAACTTCATTATCAAACTAAACAGTCAGGTTTATATTTGGCAGAAAGTCAGATGTTCACCAAATTT